TGGCAATACTCGAAACAGCTGTATGGTCAGCCAAAAATTCAATTAATTAAAATAATATAAAAAAAAAATCAATTTTTGTTGTTGTATTTCACTACTGTTCGAAAAAACCTCTTTAAAAAATTATTAAATAATATTAACTTTATATAAACATAAACATATATACAATAAATTATATATAGTATACATACTGTGAATTGTAAATAACATAAATTTATGGTCAAAAGTATGAAACTTATAAAAAATCTATTCAAAAAAAAGAAATTACTAGTAAGAAGGAAAATATAGAAACTACTAAATTTGTTCTTAAAAGCGTTCCGTTCTTTCTATTTGAACTACTATTATTAAAAAGATATATGATTTTATTGGTGTTTTCAAATTTATTTTATTTTAAGTTCAAAAGTACTGAAGCAGTTCTATTGTTGCTTACCTTTATGAAGCAGCTGATTATCACTTCAGTGAGTTCAAAACTGTTGCATAAAAAGAGTCACACTTAACTTACAATTACTACGGCATATTAATTGCATTTTCTTTTGCTTTGCAACTTCTTTCAGTCATCACTGATATATCAAAAATAATTTTACATCTTAGCACATATTACTTGATTTTAAGTTAAAAAGTACTAGAACTAAGTACTAAGATCTATTGATTGCGTGCTTTATGAAGTAGCTACTTACCATTTCAGTGAGTTTAAAACTGGTGCATAAAAACCCAGCAGCGCCTGCAGGTTTGGTTGGTTATGCATTTCGCTTTGAATTAATTTCTTACGTTACCTACCGTCTAACTGGGCGTTAATGCAGTTTACGTGGGCTCAATTGGTGAATTTTATATTGAGTTGTCATTGCCGGTGTCAATTGTTCCCGTACGATGCACCGCAGAACTTGTCTTTTCACTAGTTCCTGATTTGGAAAATAATAAATAAAACGTTCATTTTATATATTATTACATATATATTTATTTTAATTTGTGTATATATACATATTAAATATTTTTATATTAATAAATTACTTTCTAAATAATTGTGCTGTAGTTAAATCAAATTGTCTAGGGATTTAACTGATGATCTATAGATGATGTTGCAACCTTGTCTTTAATAAAAAAAAAAAATTTGATTTATATGCTATTATTTTAACAGATTTTGGTAGTTACATGGAGTTGGGACACATTTATTCGTATTCATCGTAGCGTGTTTTAATGACTTATGTATATCGTTCTGTTATTAATTCTAGATATTATTATATAATATTATTTTACATATTTTTGTATTATATTTTTAAAATTATTTGCAATAAACTTCGCATGTACAAAAGCGATATTTATCCAATGTAAGTAAGACCTTATAAAATCAATATCTGTTAACATTACTTGATCTGAACTTAATAGGTTCACAGTCCCACTAAGCATAATGTTGTATGTTTTTACATATTCGCTCTATCGCAAATCAACGCTCTATTGCGAAGGAGGCATTTCATTAAAAACAAGAGAACGAAGCATATTGCTCTCAATTTGTTTATACACAACAAGTATAAGCAGTGGACTTTTGTTTCAACTGGTGAATCATTGCATTACCAGGGATCGGAATATGTGATAGTGTTCCAAAATAGTTATATGTGGTTGAATTTCTTTGTTTCTCATTTGTTTGGTATTCTCTTCGTTCAAAAATAATAAAATGCGCTATTAAATTTTATACAAAAAAAGTATTAAAAAATTTATATATTCTAATTAGCGACTTAACACATCCCCACGAACCACACACCCCATTTCACTAGTTCCTTTGGACTACTTCGTGTACGTTACTAATGCCTAGCGACAAATGTCTCCTAAAAAACTGCTGGGAAAAGTCACACCTAACACACAAATACTACTGTATTTTCTTTTGCTTTCCAACTTCTTTCAGTCAATACTGATACAATACTGATATATCAAAAATAATTTTACATCTTAACACATAATAACATGCTTAACATGTTTTTAAGTTCAAAAATACTGGAACAGATTTAAGCAATCAGCTTACCTTTATGAAGCAGCTGATTATCACTTCAGTGAGTTTAAAACTGTTGCATAGAAAGAGTCACGGCAATTTCTTTTGCTTTGCAACTTCTTGCAGTCAACACTGATATATCAAATATAATTTCACATCTTAACAATATAGAAGCTATTATCTAACTTCTTGCTGAGTTCAAGCCTATCTGACACCAGTTATTTTGGGAAAGTATGGAAAATAAGAATAATTCGGCGCAGGTGCGTTTATCAGCAGTGGGCAAAAAGAGTAAAAGGAAAAAGTCACAAAAGCAACGCTATTGGGCTAAAAAACACCAACGTTTGCCTGAAATTTGGAATGGTGATCAATTTCGGACTAATGGTGAATCAATTCCTGGGAGAGAGGTGGAAAATAATAATAATAGTAGATTTGTCAGAAAGAGGAAATTCGCTGGTTTATTGTCCGAGACAACTCATGTTGAAACTAAAGGAAATAACGCAGCTGTGGCAGATGTAAGTAAATTAGTATTAATGTGCGTATTAGAGCGGTACTGATAGTTTTGTAATTATGTTATAGCACTATCCCGAGTGTTGATAGTAGTCGATGAAAGTTACAAAAACTTTTCCAGTTTATAAAAAAGTTTATACGTTTACTCAAATACGACATTTCACATTTCACTTTTTAGTAAACCAAAGCAAACAATGGTAGAATACATGTTAAAAACTAATCTATATACTAATTTAAGACTTGTTTCTATTACTTTATCATTGACTCCTTTGAAATACTTTGAATTTAGTGTTAAATTCAAATTTTTTAAAATATTTCCCACTGCAGCTCAGCTGTTGTTTCATCGAACAGCTCAATAATTATCAGAATAGTGATGCGGTACTATTTAGTCTCGTCCGTACAAGTTTAACAGTATTAGCAAGGTACATTATCAATTAAACAAATTCAATATATTTGTTTTACTTTATTTTTAATAAAATTATGTACTTTCTATATTTATATCTTACACCCGTAAGATGTTTAGGATCTTTTTACAACTGGTAACTATACGTTCTTGATGCTTACTCTATTTGCTGAGGTAGACTGGTTTCTCTTTTGAGGTTTGTTAAATAGAAAAACTCGGAGTTTAGTTTTATTTTAACTCTTTGTTTGTCATTATTTCGTAATCCAACATCAGCTAGTACAACTTAATTATGTTAAGTTGTTGAAATGCACTTTCTTCTCATTACAAAATCATGAAAAGTAGATACAGTTGATCGTTATGGTGATCACAGATCACCGTAACTTAGTTACAAAAGCATGAACACCTATTTTGTTTACGAAATACTAGGCATTAGGTATTTTTTACATGAATACAAATAAAAAATGAAAAAATGAAATCACATGAGTAACATAATTTATACGAATATAACTCATGCGATTCCTTAACCCATTATCTGACGCTACTAGAAGGAGGCGGAATTTCTTAAAGCCGTTTTACTTGTGCACTTATGTAGTCCTAATTAAGAAAAAAAAATTTTTTTTTTTTGCTAACCCGCCCAGTTTAGGCTGCACCCACTGTTGCGTTTTCGCAACATTGTCAGAATAAAGGTTCACATACCAAAAAGTTTTGATGTTTTAATATTATTAATTTTTTATTTTTTGTGTGTTTTTTGAACATTTAATTCACTTGTTATGATAATTTATAAAACACTTAGGGTGCAAAGCAACATTACATTTGGTACAGTTATATATGGTTTGACTGCGACACAATTTACACCTTTGTCTGTTAGGTGTTTGGGATACTGTATGATCAACATTGTCGTATCTTGATGATGTTGGCATGTTTGGGTGTCGAAAATCTGATCCTCTGTTATTAGCAAATATTCTGTTACTTCTACATGGAAGTCAGCTTGTGATATAATTGCCTTTTTTTAACATTTTTTTGAAAAATGCAATGAAGTTTCCAAGCGTTAACCATCGCTGCATCAAGTCCATTAAGACCATCAAGACCATTTTTTTCCTCGAATCCGTATTCGGTAATTGTTTATAGTATTGTCAAAGAGATCAACGCCACCCATTGTTTTATTATAATGGCTTATAATGTTTGGCATGCTGATATTACCCATTTTCTTCTCTTTTCTAATATAGCCTTTGGTAGTTTGCATAGGAAGAGTTGCGATGTTGTGTGATGCTACTGTAACTACAGAATTGTCATTCCATCGACATAAATATACATTGTTGTCGACATTGTATACCGCATCACTTGTTCCTCGTAGCTGCTTAGATATGTCCTTTACATTTACATTTATATTTATAAATTTTGGACTACTTTAGTTTTTCTTTTTTGTTTTTTTTTTTGATACGTTAGTTTCAACTTCATCGGCCGTATAATTGAAAACCATTTCTAATTCACCTGCTACTTCATTTGGTAGTTGTTCTCCATCCTCCATCAACGTGTCATCTAATTCCTCCGCATCACTCTGGTTATCGACATTGGGCGGAGGCAAGATAGTAATGCGTGTACTATCAGGGGAATCAATATCATTAGATCCCATCAAAATATCTTCAATATCACACATAGATAAAAACTTTCGTTGTTCACTTATTTTAACACTAATGTTTTAAGGCTGAATATTAAATTGACACTAGAAATGTTGATTTGAATCTAATGACTGTATTAGAAGTCTTAGTGTATTTATTCAATAATTTATATTTATACACCAACATTGTACAGTTTCAAAGAAGAAGTAAAAAATTATACTGAAATACCATAAAAAATCATAAGATAACATTAAATATTTTAAAACATGGGAATATTTATCGTGATAAGTTGGAGCAAGCTTATTATTTAATTGCTATTACGCTAAAAAATTAATTGAGACTACCTGCTACAAGCAATAGTTTCTTTACCGGAAAAAAACTTTAGTACTCGTTTCTTGACATTGTTGCGTTTTCGCAACACCTGACTTTGAGAGTTTGTGTAACGTACATATATCACCAAATAGCTTACAATTTATATAGATTCGCTAGAATACACTATTGTAATTAAGATTTAGGTAAAAAATTAACACAAATTTTCTCCATTTATATAACACATGCATAAAAATAAGCAAAAGTCGTATAATTTTAAAATAACACAAAGACGGCTCTGCAAAATCTTCCATTAAATTGTATCTATACAATTCAGGTCAAAAAAAAAATTATATATTGTAGATAAATCATAGTCCTATTGTACAAAAAACACTATAAGCACAAAAACCTTTTAATTAAATTTTAAAAAATTTCTGAATACAGCGTTAAAATTGTTGCGTTTTCGCAACATTGTCAGGCAATGGGTTAAGCACCATGTTAAGCAGACAGTCATGGTAACGTCACGTTGGTTAATTTAGTTTTGTTTAGTAATAAATGTATAATGTAAGGCACAAAAAAGAGGAAATGAGGTAAATCGTGATATGGTTTCACTTCTTTATTTAAAAATACCTGTCAACCACAAAATATAAAGAGCTGAAATACAAGCAGACTATTGACTGGTGCAACCCAGAGAGCTCAATCAGAGCTTAGATTGGTGAAACAATAACTATGAATTGTCCACCAATTTTGTAAATTAGAGTTATGTAGTATAATATTCATTCACTAAATACAAATGAGAATCACAACTTAAAATTAAACTTTTTTATAACATATTGAAATTAGTTTCACTTCTGTATTAAAGAGGATGATGTGCTAAAGGATTTCCTGGAAAGCTCGGGGCAAATATAGACAATGTATATCATAACTATTGCACATGCTTGCAATAATTTTTAAAATTGGATTCTTTGAACACAATATTTTAACAAGGGAACAAGGGCGCACTTATATGCAATATTTTTAAACTGACGATGGTTTATTTGTTTTATATATGTTTTATATTTGTATATACTATTTGTTGAAAACAATCCTAACTACGGAATAGTATATATTGATTTTGCCTTACGTTATAACATATAAATTTAAACTCATTTGGATTAGTAAAGCCAACAAAAAAAAATGCACTTATTGTGTTCTTGAGACATGCAGCAAAAATTTTTCTTATTATGTCGTTGGAAAAATCATTACTAGTTCCTATAAAGGAAATAATATTCAAGCTTTCTAAGGAGATCATCTTTACTCATTATCGACTCAATGTATTCCATTTTTCTCACTCTATTACTCGCCATACACCCCCGCACTATTACTCCTCCACTACCGTGTTTTATTGTTGAATACAAATCTTCATTATTAAAGGCAGTACCCGGAATTCGCCATATAATCGTTCGACCTTTAATGCTAAAGAGGCAAAATTTGCTTTCGTCTGAAAAAATTATGCGTTTCCAAAATTCTGGAGACTTATTTAAATACTCCCTTTCGAATGCTAAACGCTTCATTCTAATAGCTTTGGAGATAAGCGGCTTGCTTCGTACAAACCGGCCATGGTAGTGGTATTTTTTTAATATTTTGTGTACAGTATCCACGTGAATTTGCTTCTGGAATGTCTGGTCAATATATTTCTATAACAGAAGTCCAGTTAGACGAGGATTATCTTTCACTGAATTAATAATGCTGCGGGTTTCTCTTGTTGACAGCTTGGATGGACGCCCAGATCCCAACTTCTAGGTCAATAATCCTATTTAGTTGTAGTTGTTCACTACTCTTTGGATAAAATAATGTGACCGCTTAACGATTTGATCAATTTTGGGATACATTTTCCTTTTTTTCCATAAATCAATAATAATACTGCTTTCACTGATAATAATTTCTTTTCCTTTATTTGTCATTAAAAAGTTAATTACTTTTTAATCATTAAATTATAAAATAAGTGCGTGGGATTGTGTATAATGATATACTGGTACAGTAAAACATAAAGCACGCCAAAGTTCTACTATTAAAACTTCGGGAATTCCCCTTTATATGTTTTGTACGCAGACTTTTTCTGCCACTGATAGCGCTGATTTTTTACATTTTTAATTATTATAATTTTTCTACTAATGTGTTAGAAATAAGTTTTAGCTTAAAATAAAGTCAACTAATTAAAGTACAAACAAAAAATAAAATTGATTTAAAAAATTTATTTATATAATCATTTTTTATATGTTGAAACAAAATTTACTTTTTGTACGCAGAGTTTTTCTGCTAAGTGTATATCATATTACATGAAGATCGATAACAGCTTCATCACTTCAACACTTGTCTTCCTTTTCACACGCATTTTAGTCGACATCTTATTTTCTTTCTATTATAAAAATACAATTTAATATTAAAATTTAAAATGACTTTAACAAAATTCAAATTGTATCCCAAAATGATCAGTTTTTCAAAATTCACATTCTCTGATTTATGCTACAATAATTTTAGAAACATTGGTCAAATTCAACGCTGAAGGGTACGATTTGGAATCCAACCCCAAAATGCTATGACATTGTAGAATTGCATAAATCAGAGATGCCCTTTATTGATCTTACTATGTGCCCAACTACTCCAACTGATCAAGTAAGCACCTCAAAACAGTAAAAGAATATATTTAAAATAATAACAAATAAAAATTAGGTTGAAAAAAACAAACTCAACATTGGGCCTCAATATTTATCCAATAATGAGGAAGAAAGTGATGTAGGTCAACCAAACAGGAAAGTGGATATTGCTACAGAAATATTAGCGGATACTAATGAAAGCATGTTTGAAGTGGTAATTTTATTTTGTCCTACATTCATTTTTAAAGCAAAAATTCTTAAATTGACCTACTCAAATATATTAACACAATTCTAGCATCATTTATTAAATTCCACGCCGACTGACAAAGTCGAAAACTCTATACCAGAACGCTGTAGAAGTGTTGTAGAATCAATTTCGAAAGTGTGGCAATTACTTAATCCCAATGGCAATTCCGTTCCAACTGGTCGGGTTAGTATTTCAAACCTAGTGTACGAGCAATTTATTAATACAACAAAAAAACAAATATAGGTGCAAAAAATCAGACTTAATAGAAGAATATTAAATCCTCCAAAAAGGACAATGGATACAAATTTCAAAGATAAACTGAACTTAATTGAAAGATCGTTGAAAAAGGTAAACACCGAAAACTAAATATTTTTATATACAATATTATTTATATTCACTTATATATATATAATAATACAACTCTAGAAATGCACAGAAACAAGCG